AGCGGTGGGCTAAGAAAGTTTCTAAGCAGATTTGTGGGCCGATCTACTAATATGCACTCTAGCGCTGAATTATGAGAAAAAAGCGGAGGCCAGTACAGATTGAAGTCACTCTACATTACTCACTTCACTCCGCAGTACTCACTCTACTCCATCAACCAACCCACCACCAAGTTACTGATTTATTTATACGAAGGAAAAGTGAGAGCTAATCATAAAGTTTTAAGGGGCGGACAAACGGACAAACATACAAACCGACAAACCGACACACCAAATTATGCTTTAAAAATGAGAGAGATTCTAGATTTCAGCGGAGAAAAATAATCATTAATGAGCCACGTGGCCTCAATTTACCCAAAAAAAACCCGGGGATCCCAGGAGCGTGGAGGTTTCGTTCATCTGTTGGATAGGAAATTCTTATATAATCATTCCATGATTGCTCTTTTTCCTGATCGGTAAATGAAAGACACTTCGGTGGCTATTAGTACTATTTCCTCTATTAGTTTCCGCTACTAGTATTAGGAATAACAGTATTCAATCGCTCACATTTTGTAGTTGTAGATGACATCCTAATTAGGTGGACACTGTTGTTGAAACTCAACCTGAAATTGTAAAAACGAATAGTTAATAGTCAGGGCATAGTCATAACACAGATATCCTCACACTGTGCTTAAATGAATAGCTTTTCCAATGAGAAAAACCTACTGAAACTGTAACCGCAAAGGCCTTGTGGCCCACAGGTGGTACCGGAAATAACTGCGCTACAATCACTATCCTTATTGCAGCCATTTACTCCTTGAGTACCTGGGTAAACCGGTTTGCCCAGCTGCGGTCTGAAAGTAGGATCATTAGACCATGGTCAATCGCTTAATGCTGGTTGGTTGGGCTAAAGGGCGCGATGCACACGACTTCTGCCCGTGGTATTGTGATGGTGCTGGGATACATATGCAGACAGAGCGATCGTGTTGGGAGAAAATACTGTCCAACTCATACTCTGATCGGGACACTAGCGCAAGAATAAGTTGAACAAACTACTTCTAACAGCCCTGATAGTACAAATGTTCCTCGGAAAAAAGGGCTCATTGCCAATGACAGTAGGTGCTGCTTCACAGAAAATGAGCGAGTTTAGTGTACTTCGTTTGTTCACCGATTTTTTCTGAGATGAAACAGCAAAAAAGAAGCTCACGCAGAATCGAACACGCAAGCTACCACAGCAACTGGAGGCGTTAAATAACTACAGCTTTGATCAAGGAGAAGACCAGTGATGCAGGTGGTATGGAAAGGAGTTTAATTGGATTCAGGATCATTAGCAATATCACGAGATAGATATTGTGGTCACCTCAGGATGGATTGTCTTATGAAAGGAAATTTTCAACTTGAACCACTTTTCCTACACTCAGGCCGGATCTTCCTATTAAACACTTTTCCTACACTCAGGCCGGATCTTCCCATGAACCGTCGCGTAATGCATTCAGACATATCCCCGACGCTGACTTACGATCTCTTGTAAACTTTGAAGGCAACAAAATAATTCTACAAATAGATGATGCTAGAAGTCATGCATCATATCAACACAAGAACAACTGGGGAAAAGTCCTTCGAATTTGTTGCTTGTTTTCTGCTTTTTCTTGAAGAATAAAGAAGAAACCTACGCAGAATTGAATATGCAGGCTACAACGGCCCTTGGTGGCGCTGGCTGACTACATTCCTGATATGCGCATCCAGCTTTTGTTGACTTGTAGTAGATCATCTGAAAAAAGCTCTGTCATTAGCTTACTCCAATGCAGTATCTTGGAAATTACAACATCTTGGAAATTACAATGTTTCACTGAAAAGATGTGAGAAGGCATATTAGGGGGCATATACGCATCCGTCTCTCCGGTCTCTTCCCCGCCCTTTCTCGAACACCTTTCGCCGCCACCACTCCTTACGTCGGCTCACTTGCTAAGAGAGTAACCTCATCGCCATTCATGAATTCGTTGTACGTATTTATGCTGCCGTGTGGCAACTGCCTTCATAGAATGGTGCCCCAGAATCCTACAGAGCGCAGCTCACATATGTACAGTTTACACTTTTACGTACGACATGGGGGAAGGTATTTCTGGCACTATTGTAGATTAGATAAGCAGAATATCTGCTCCCTTTCGTGATAGAAAACGGGAAGAAGATCGAAAATCTCACATTTGCGAAATCCTTCATGTTTTGGTTGGTATACGTGACCTGGCTGCCGAAATTTGTGTTCAAGATCTCTTGCATCCAACTAGCCAAGGCAAGATTTATCACAGTGATGTTGTTCAAATTATCGCTTGGAGTTTCGTAAAACCTTGAAACAGACACACTGAGCGTGCTCTCTACTTTTTCAAACCTGTCACTGGAAAAAGAAACCCACGTGTAGTAACTCATTGATGACCCTGATGGAGTGAAGTTTTCGTTTTGGCATTGAATAGTATTGATTTGGGCATACACTTCCAGCTCAGGACTATATTCCTGAAATTGATAGACGTTTGATCACCAAGTATCGTAAGGTAGTGAGGAGCGATAGCAATAGTAATCGCTACTGTTCTACCAAAGGACGCCACAGTAGACGCATGTATTCTAAGTGTATGGAATCTTGACTGCTGAAGCTACACTCTCAATCAGGCTAGCTGTGAACGTTCCCCGTTAGTCCTCAAGACAAATCAGGTCAGGATCAAAGGAGGTTATGTGCTGTGCTGTGAAGGCTGCTTTCATAGTCAAAAACTACTACTTGTACTTGTTTTGAGCCAACGGCGGGCTTCACACGAGAGACGCGGGTAGCGATCGATGTCGCTCACTGAACAACGCTACAGCATGCTGTTAGACTGGAATTTGCATCCATAGCAGAGTGCATTGTGATATTTCCTTATATATATTATGTAGAGAAGTAAACAACTTGAAACGTACCACTTGGAACATCTGCAAAGACGATGGTAAAGGTCCATACGATGTGGACAGGTCACCTTTGGCTACCTTCTCTCTAAAACCGTTGATCAACTCGATAAATAATTCGGATTGATCTGGAATATACACAAGTCACCATGCGATCGCTTTCATTGAATGTCTGGGCAAATTTATGTGATATGAGGATCACGATAAGCCAGATAAAATCACAGGGTTGACTGGGAGCAGTACGATTAATTGTTAGGGAGGGCCCACGCACCTCTTGATTTCTCTATACTCTTTCTAGCATTGCATAGCTTGTCAAAATGACTTGAAAATTTTTTCTTCAATGGCATTGAACCTGTATATACGCAAACTCATCCAATTACGTCAAAAAAAGTTGTGTCATATCCCATGAATCTGTGGCCCTGCAAGGACAGCATTTGAGAAATAGTCGGGTCAAAAAGGGCGCTATAGAGAACCGGTCGGCCGACATACACATCTAATAGTGGCCGTATTATGACGGTCTTGTTAAGGCTGACAATTCACCATGGAGCTGACGCTGACGAATAGTACGCTCATGCGGGGAACATCCAAACGGTCACAGATTCGTAGTCTAGTGCAATAGCCTTTCTTACTGCTTATTTGAAGCCTTGTATTTCTCTTAATCCGCAGATTTCCGCGCTTTCTTCGCAATTTTTGTACTACCATGACTTCCGTCACATGGATGCAATTAACCACTAAGATAACCCTGTTCTGGTTCTCAGAGGATTGTGCATAGCCTTATGAAGTGATTCGGTGAAATTGCCATACTCAGATCAGAAAGGTTGTTGAATTGGAATCGCCTCTATGATGTGACTACAAAGAACATTGTTTTTACATTGCAGTGAGTATAGTAGTAGTAGTATTGTAGTTTCAATGAATTTATCGTGATTCTGAATGTCTTACTTAATTTTGCTGCTGCAGTTGTTGTCAGTACAGTTTGTGGTGTAGTTGCTGCGGCAGTTGTCTTTTCTGGAATAGAAGTTGAGGCTGCGTTCGGAGTTGTGGTTCCCTGAGTGGAAGTTGAAGCTGCCTTTGAAGAAGCTCCTGTTCCCTGAGTAGAAGCTGAGGCTGCCTTTGAAGAAGCTCCTGTTCCCTGAGTAGAAGCTGAGCTTGCCTTTGAAGGAGTTCCTGTTCCCTTAGTGGAAGCTGTGGCTGCCTTTGAAGAAGCTCCTGTTCCCTGAGTGGAAGCTGTGGCTGCCTTTGAAGAAGCTTCCGTTCCCTGAGTGGAAGCTGAAGCTGCCTTTGAAGAAGCTCCTGTTCTCTGAGTAGAAGCTGAGCTTGCCTCCGAGGGAGTTCCTGTTCTCTGAGTGGAAGCTGTTGCGGCCTTCGAAGGAGTTCCAGTTGCTACTCCAGATGTTGCTTTTTCTGTTGCGGGAGTCGTAACTGGTGCTGTAGAAGCAGTAGCTGAAATTATGTAGGAAACGTAAGTTGACAATGGTGGTAAGCATCTGTTATTTTTTGCACAGGAGCAATGATATATGTTAGGAAAACTTACAATAAACCTTGGTAGTTGTTGTGAAGCTATAACCACAGAGTCCTTGTGGTCCACACTTGGTACCATTAAATACACTTTTACAATCTCCGTCATTATTGCATCCGGTAACACCTGCGGTACCAAGATAAATGGGTTTGCCTGTTTCCGGCCTAGAAGAAATAGAAAATATTCGGTGGCCTAACAATTGTTCTGCCTATATAATATATTATTAGATTGATCAAAAACACTCGATAGGATTTTACGAAAAGTGCGGGATCTTCGATTTTTTATCTATATCCATGATCTATCGCATTACAGTTGTAGAACATTTTGGAACTTCTCGGCAAAAGGTACATAAGTGCGCGTGCGCCTACCTGCGCCGTGCGTTTAAACACGATGCCAATCCCACAGGACTATCTTCAAGCCATCATCTTCTATGAGTGGCGCCGAGGCACTTTAGCTACGGCAACAGTCCACAAAATCAGCAGCGCATTTAGGAAGCATAGCACTCCCATCGCTACGATCCATCGCTGGTGCGCTCGCTTCGAGGAAGGAGACAAAAGCCTCAGAGCCTCCAGAGCTCAACAACCACAGTCTTGCGACGAGACATGTGTGTGCCCAATCAACAGTCGTCATGGGTGGAGAGACCCGTGCAAAATTGGGGAAGCTAGGCTGGGACACGGTTCCACACCCTTCCTATTCAACTGATATTACTCCCTCTGATTACTACTTGTTCCGGCTTCTCAAGGCGTTCTAGTAAAAAACAACTAGTCAATTATGAGCACTTCGAACATGTAGTAGATGACTTCTTTGACGCCTAATCTTTCTGGAGGATGGGAATCGCTGATCTGCCCGCTAGGTGGGACAATGTTCTATAAACGATGCTTATTATATTGTTGACTAGCTTGCATTGTCGCTGAGTTGCAAAATAAAACAGAAGATAATCTCAACCCTATTGAGGCTTTTCGACCAACCTAATAGGTTGCCTCAAAAATTCGTACACATTGTCTTGGCTACGCTTTTTGATCGAGGCAAATCCAAACGAATCAACTTGCTCTCTAGCAATCACTTTGGCCACTGTAGATAGAGGTATTCGTCTCAAAAAGTTTCGAAGCTTGACAAATGTCTTCTCATGAGTTGACAATTTCTTAAAAATGGGATCTGTATACAATTTCTTCTTGATTTTGTCGTAAGGACTGATTGGACATCGTCATCAGTAGAGATTAAAAGTGGTGCATATGCGTTATTTACACGCGCAAGCATCAGTGGCTGGTTTCGTTAGAAGCAGCTATCTGGCTGTGAGATCAGATCTTCCAATTAAAAGTTCATGCTTCCGTCTGGTGCGGCGTTCAATTAGTAGTAATAGGCTACGAGATAGGCCTAATGCAGTGAGCTACCATCTTCGAAGTAATAACTGGAGATAATCTCTTGGGAGTCCGTCCAAGTGTATCTGTTCCACAACAGTGATAGACCACATGTTTCGGAGGCGACACACCTCGCAATTCCGGAACTTGGCAGAGAAATTTGACCGCATGCAGCCCAGACCCTGTCCCTTCTGACTACCACATATTTCTGTGCATGCAGCCCAGACCCTGTCCCTTCTGAATACCACATATTTCTGTCCCTCAGCAGCCATTATGTGGGCAATAAATACGATTCCCTCGAGGATTCCAAAAGTGATCTAACTCTGTTTCCCAGCCTAATACCGCAGCATTGTACAGGCAAGGCATCCACACCCTTCCTAGTTGTTCGCAACAGGTTGTTGATAGAGATGGTGCACATAGTGCACATTGGTCTTGCTTTTTTTTGAAATGAACTTGGATAAAAAAAACTTCCGTTGGTCTGCCACTACAAGCTTGCAAAATATGACCGTTTAACATAATTCTTGATTCATTGGTATGTCCAAAAACGATCTTCGTCCAATGAGGGGCTCGGAACTTCTAACATCACTGCAGAGAGCCTGCACATGAGACTTCATTCGCCGACAGGAGACTTTGTCCAAGTTTACAGGTTTTGACTCGATGGGTGATCCTTGGCATTCACAATATTATTTTTAAAGGCACAGTTCCCGATGAAAATGTTTTCTGAGTTCTCCCTTTAGAAATACCCAGTAGCCCCAAGGGTAACAGAAAGGACCCTTTCGCGTTCCGGTTCC